TAACAAGCCTTTGTAACTAAAATTGGTGAAAATGCCTATCTGAATTTCCAAATCTATTGCCATTTGAACTCAAAAATGCATGATTTGTGTGGCATGTATAGACGATATATAGTAGTGTTGAGCATATCTCTGAAGGAACTTATAGCAAATGTGAGATTAATTTTTCAAATGTTAAGAAAGGCGAGTTGAGATACTCAATTGGATAAATATGATTTTTTGAGCGAAGAGACTCAATTTTTAGGTCATGTTCTTACTACCAAGGATATAAAACCGAACATGAAAAACGTAAATAGAGATTGAAAGTTCGTAAGATAAAAAAAAAATTATAGCAGATTTGTAGAAGTTTAGGATAAAATGGCGCATCCAATGACTACAATATCTGAAGAAAGGAGAGAGACGATCCTAGCTCAATAACTAACCCCCCATATCTGAAATATCCGAATTTCTCGAAGAGGTTTAAGATAGAAGTACTAGAATAGCATTTTAATGCGGCATAGTAAATCTAAGTTTTTCAATTTGTGTTGCTTTTATTTACCTTTGTTTTAAGCTGTTAATGAGCTTTTAAACTAAAAATTAATATAGAATGGAATTGCTATTGTTTCAAATGATGCCTTCAAAAAATGCCTTCTGAAATAATAAAAAATAAAGAACAAAGTAACTATTTTTTAAAATTCTGTAAACCGAATAGTAACCCTCCATTAGCAATTGCGCAATTAGTGCAGTTCTAATGCAAGAAGGCCACAAAATTGCATTCGCATTTAAGGCACTGCGAGTTCACAATTGAAGATGAGTTGTTAGCTATATTTTTGGGGAGTAAAATGTAAAGACTACATCTAGAGGATGTGATCTTGAAACGAACCACCAACTACTAAAGTGATTGATGGCGAAATACATGGGGAGGTCTATTAGCCCTCGTCTTCACAGATGCGTAATTGAACTGCATCAAAATAAAATTCAATTACATCGTCGAGTTTTTAAGAAGACAATAGAGATATTAACGTTGTAGACTGATTTAGACCGAACATTGAATTTGATAACAATCACGTGAACCATACTTGCGGTGCTGTAAATAATGGTACTGAAGCTGCTGGAACTTGTCACTCGTAGGAAGAGGGCTTCAACGATCTATTCAACCAACCGATATAAAAATAAGAAATTTTTATTATGCCAGCCAATGCCTATTCACGAACTGGGTATGCTGTTTACAACTCTCAAACGGACCGTTTCTTTCTATTTAATGTCAACAGAAAACCTTCCACGCTCACAGCTTTGTTAATTGCTAAGTTTCTTACTATTAGCATTTCAAATGAAGATACATTTAAACAAATAATTAATTTCATAACAAAAGTGTCTGCACAATATCTGTCAATTACGTATTCTATAACTACCTCTTGTCAGCATTTCCTGGATAGACCGATAATTCACTAATCATTGATCTTCACTTTGTCTGATGCCATTGCAGCACACAAATGGATGACATTGTTGATCATTTAGCAAAAATTAGAACGTACTCGATACGTCCTGCAAGCAACGCAGAATGAAGCTTTCAATATCTTTTAAAGTCACGAGATACAGGGAAGCTTTCCTTCTCGATTTTCAGTTCAATTTCTAATAACCCACTCTATCATATGGTTAATCTTGAACCAACAGATATTTAAACCCGCTAATTACTGGCCATATATATGAACCTTTTTTACTTACTCAAAATAGGTGCAGCTTCTTTTGTCAGGAGCCACGCATCACTACTATTGAACTTGACATCAAAGACATTTTTGTAGAAAGCATCGGTACGTTACAAATACAAGCGTCAAAATCAAATATGCGCATATTACGCTTGTCTGTGGCATTATCGAGCAGACCATAAGCCGGCAGCAATTTGGCAGAATATGCAACAAATTTAAAGCAGACAGAGCACCGCCATTTATTTTAAACCGACATTGTTAATCATTAAAATAGACCGCCGCTACTATGGCAGCATTTCTAACTGATTGACTCAAATATGTCCCAGCAGGCTTCTTCAATTTAGTCGAAATGATCGAAGGGATTTCCTCGTCGCGGAAAGTCTTTTTTCAGCCTTTTAAGTTGCTTGTAATTTTGGTTTGACACTTATGCTCACAACTTCAAGTGGTTCATGCCTCTCGTCAGCCAACATAGCGGGATCATCAAATTTACGACCAATCAATAGCTTAACATCAAAAATCATGCTTTGAAGATTCGTAGCTCCTTAATTTCCGAGTCAAAGTAACATATTATTGTGTCGTACGATTATCCAGATCATTCAGAATAATTTTAATTTTCCTATGTCGAAACACGCCCGTACGGGATTCGATAGATAACAATTGATAACAGAGGCATCAGACATCTGTAGGAAAAATAAAGATTTAAAGATTAAAATAAAGATTTAATGAATAATGAACAATTTTTTTTAAATACTTTTATACCCATCACCGTAGGATCAGGGTTATATTCATTTTGTTAAAACGTTCGCAACGTCCAGAAGGCTTTTTTGCTCGTTACTCATAAACTACGCCAGATAAGTATACAAAAATATGACCATATATTGTATTGGCAATGTTCTAATATCTGTAAAAAAATGGGAGGAATTGTACATGCTTGCCCAATGCTATAGTGTATCAAAATTGTATTTTTTTTTATCCAAACTTTTATAACGCACAGAACCAGGTTTCAAAAACTTCATTAGGTACATAAATTCTTGACCGATTTCAAATTCGGAATGCGACTAAGCGTGTTCATCTGCCCAACTGTGTAGTATTGTGGCATGCATAAACGTATCGCGTACACATTTACAAAATAATTTGAAAATTACTCAAACCAGTCTAGGAACCCGTCTACAATGCCCACGTGCCTATGCCACAAAAACTGCGAACAGCTTTGCTTTCCGTAGTTTTTGCTTGTTGCTCATAAAATAGAACACCTACAATCTATAAATTTCCAATTTTTTTCTGAAATGGAAAAAATCAGCCCACTCAATACTAATAATGACTGTGGATATTTAGTTGTTTTCCGATTTTTGTGTTTTTTCGAATAACGATGTTGGATATAAAAGATCACGACCGAAGATAATTTTCTTATTTGCTATTTTAAATGTTGGAACATTAATAAAAACATAGCAAAAGCTGTCAATGAATCACCTAAAAGAATTTTCCCCTTCACAATTCAGGCTTACCATCGAATCGTCTAGCAAATTTATTTAAAAGATTGCGGTTCCCTTTAGAAAGTAAGGTGTGTCCATCAGTGCACGAAATGAACTCTGTTTACGGCCCGATAAATTTTAATTTATTCATTGTAATTATTTTATAATTATTTTCACTGCATTTATTTCATATCATTTCTATATTAAAGAAATTAGAGTGCTTGCTTAAGTCTACAATACATTTTTCAAAACGCACCATATAACTTAAAATGATGAGGCTCCTCGCACAATACCGCATGGATGATTTGAAAGATTGCAGATCATACTAAAGATCCGCAACGTATGGACGCGCTTGTGTTTTAAAAATATTCCTAATTGTAATACTTTTACTGTCACACTTTTTTCTCCATATATTTATTTCTCGTTGTTTAAAGTTATTAGAGTTCTTAAGGAAAGTGCTCGCTAGATGTTTTTTCGTTTTAATTTGCACGATTATCAGTTTTTCGCTTTTACTTGCCACAACTGTAGAACAATAAAAAAACATATAATGCGCCCATAAACACAAAATACTTCCAGCAAAAATTAATACGAAATTCGTAAATTTTTGTAAATTTGGTTATTATAATCTTCAATTGAATAGAGAGTGTGAAATATTTAAACCTCCTGTATCTGCTTTGAAATATTATCTTTTTCTTTATCTTTGAATTCACCTGATACTAATTCATTCATATTGTGTACATACACTTAAATTGGCCCTAGAAGGGCTTTTGAATTGTATACTTTACTATAAATAAAATTACTTTTTTTTTAACCCTTTGGCGAAAAAATGCTATTTGCCGACATTTTGAATGAAACAAAAGAAATATCGAGTAGTCAATTCTTTCTAACTAAAAGGAGAAACTCACCAACGATAGCGTATAATAATAATTAATAATAATTTTTGTCGTAAGCGCTATTATTTTTGTTTTCTATTTATAATCGAATTTAGGAGCTAAATTAATCTTATTTGTTCTTCACTGATATATTTGTTTGAAGGAGTTTTAGATTTTGCACCAGTTTTCGGAATAAAAGAAAGAAGCGATTGGAAAAATCTAGAAAGTGTTTCGATTTATACTCATTCGTAAAAGAAATAGTAATTCTCACTCTATTTCTTTCTCGGACACACAATTTTACAATAACAATACCAGCAATTCCCTAGTGCTGCCAACCAGCAGAAATTTCTAGAATTAGAAAAGGATATCGCAGACGAAAAGAAGAATTAATGCTACCAAATTTCCTAAATTAAATTTTTTTGTAAATTGTTATGCCTTAGTTGGCACATGCTGGAAATAAATGAATATGAATATATTTAACAATTAATAGAACATACTATCAACCCTCACGGTGTGATTACCAACCTTCAATGTAACACAAAATTCAAAGTGCGAATAAAAAGTTTTTATCTTTCGGGAGAGCTATTTTATATTCAAAAATGTTTTTTTTTTTTTGCTTTGTGAATACTTCTAAAGAAAACTACTTGAGCTAAACTGAAATAAAATTTGTGTATTCTACAAAACTTTCAGTTTAAATCTAATACTATATAGAAAATAATAATGAGGTAAGAACCAAATAGCTAACTGTTAAAAGAGCTTCGTAACTCATGAAATCTGTTAAACATATTCATTGCAAAATGCAAATTGCCGTCGGCATTGCAAAATGAAAAAAGATCAGTAGGAGGTTTTCCAGCCCTTGAATGAATCACTGGTAGTTTGATTATATTTTTCACGATACGAAACGTGGCCACACTTACCAGGATGGTATTTCATAATTGTTTGCCATAAATAAATATGTCAATTAAATATAAATTTTAAAATTTTATCTTTTCAAGTTTTCTTTTGTGATATTGTCAGCTAACAATCGGGCTAAGTGAGCTCTTTGACTGGCTGTTGAAAATTTATTATTTAATCATAATATTTAAATTATTTGTTCGTTTGTTTGCAGGGTTGACCCTGGGCCATTTCTACGGAGAATTATTTATCGCATAGCAAATAATCAGTTGGCCGTGTATTTGGTAGTGCTTAATTCAGCATCGATTTTATTTTTCAACCTCTGAAAGCGGATATCGATGATAGCATTTTTTTTAAATATTGATAGCACTTTTTGCAATAAGAAATGCTACTAATTTGGTTTTATATTTAATCAAACAGCTGCTTTCACTTTGATTGCAAGTCCTCATTAAAAATTTGATGAATATATAAAGTTGGCAAAAAATGAATAATTTATTAAAATACTTCAGAAAAGTTCATACAACAACAAGTAGTTTATTTGAAAATTCTTGTAAATTCAATAACCTGCAATATCGTATAGCTCAGGCTGGCCAGGCTGGATTCCATAACAGCGCGTCTTTAACTGCGAAATGGAATAAACAGAATCTTGGTCCAACTAAATGGCCTCTATATAATAAAGTTGTACATCCCCCACAAAAGCCTGATGAGGAACCTAGGAAAGGGGTAATTATTCAATTAGCATAAGTAAAGAAATAATATTTACAGTAAAAAAAGTAATATTTCTACAGTACGTGTGTCACATGCGCACAAATATCAAATACAGTCCAGATAAAATGTGGTACATCGCTGCATTCGTACGTGGCATGTCAGTGGATGAGGCTTTAAAACAATTAAAATTTGTCCTGAAAAAAGGTGCCACAGCTGTTAAAGAAGTAATAATGGAAGCTCAAGAAATGGCCGTTAGAGACCATAATGTCGAGTATAAGAGTAATTTGTGGATTGGTAAAATGAGCATTAGAAAGATATACAATTTGTTTAATTTCCAATTTTTATTTCAGCCGAATCATTTGTTGGCAAGGGGCGAGTGTTCAAAGGTGTACGTCGGCACGCTCGTGGCCGCACTGGCGAGGTTAGGTATAAACATTGTCATTACTTCGTACGTTTAGAAGAAGGTGAACCGCCTAAAAATTATTATTTGCCCGTACCGCAAACACCCGCTCAACAACTTAATAAATGGCTAGAACAAATGCGTATGCGCAAAGTCGTTAACTCATTGTAAGCTACGGATCGTAATATTCACAAACAATAAAGTCAATTTAAAATGAGTGAAGGAGAATTTTATTTTAAAAAAATATCACGATTTATAGATAGCCACTAAAGATTTATTGGTTTCCGTTCACATCTTGGCTTAGTTCTTTAGCATTTGTTACTTCTTGTGAGAGTGTTGTCGCTACCATTTCTATGGCTGCAACTTCCCTGTTACGTAGTTGCTCATTGAGTTCCTTACTCACCACTAAGCCTGAGAGCTTTGTTAAGTTAGCGACTTTAGCCAAACCAGCATCTTTACGACGTTTGGATTTGACGGATATTTTCATGATTTTCCTTTCGACATGACCCCTCGCTGAATGTTTTTTTAAATTTTGAATCGAACTAAAAATTTTTTTACACTCCGAGCACTCAAAACGTTTGCCTTCATGAGCAGTTAGTATATGTTGTCTCAGATTTCTTTCGTAGCTATAAGAACGTTCACAACCCCCGTAAGGGCATTTAAAATTTCCACCTACTTTATTTAAACTATCCGCCAGCAAATGCTTGGAGGCTACATGTGCTTGTAACTCTCCTGGTTTTGCATACATTTGTACGCAATATTCGCATTTGTAATGTGTTCGCCCATGTTGTTTCTCTTTGCAATGCTTCAAATACGAAGACCATTTATCAAATTGCACATCACATGTCGGACAGGGATAAATTTTGCAAAATTTTTCATGTTTTGCCCACTGCCATTGTTGATAGAAACCCTTCGAACATTTATCGCAATTATAAGGATAGACGCCAGTATGCTTGCTAATTTCATGTCGCCGCATTTTCAATTTTTGCCTAAACTTTTCCTTACAGTACAAGCATTGATAGACTTTTGGATTTTCATGAACTTCACGTATGTGACGCCGCATATTAGTAAGGCTGGTAAATAATTTTTTGCAGGTATCTACCTCGCAAAGTACATTCTTCAATGGTTCTTTATTTAAGCGTTCATGCGTATTGCGAATATGCCTTTTAAGATGGGTAACAATGGAATATGACTTCTGACATTCATCATAATGACAGGCGTGCTTTTTCTGAAAAATAGCAATACGAGTAAAGAAAAATCCTGATATATACTTTAAGCGAAACTTACAATTCCGGTATGCTTGTATTCATGCCTGTCCAAATGGTCTAGTCTCTTAAAGCTCTCTTGACAGCCCTCAATGCTGCAATAGTATTTTGGCCCTGTGCTATTGCGGCGACGTTTCATTATGGACGTTTGTAACTGTAAGGACAGCACATTTTCTAAATCGCTGCTGTCGGAATTAAGACTTGGTGGCATCGTGTTGTATTGTTTAAATAAATGTTTCTTTTTAGGTTTAATATACGCGTGTACTTTTGAAGTTTTCAGAGAAGCGAAATTCAAATTACTGTATAAATTTCGCAAGGAGCTTCATGTTGCAGTTGAATCAGCTGACCTAGGCAACAACCCTGTTTTCTTTCTTTTAAAGAAGAAGCATCAGAGGTTTGCATCTGGCAAGAATAAAAATTAAGGCAAAAAGTATCCGGTAAAGTGGCAAAAGTAGCAAAGCAATTGGAAAAACTAATCAGAGAAAAGCAAAAATTAATTTTTTTTTAAGAAACTTGTAAAAATTGTTACGAAAAAATGGAATATGAAAGTGTGCTTTTAATTAAGCCCGAAGTGTTTATTTACAAAATTCCACCTAGAGCTAGTAATCGCGGTTACAGGTAAATTTTTACAATTGAAAAAAGTTTATTGCAGGAAGTATTGTTGTTATTGTTGTTGCAAATTACTTTACGCTAATTTCGTTTTAATTTTTAACGCATTCGCTTTCTGCAAGAAAAAGTGAATATTTAAAACGCCCTTAATTTCATTTCTTGATCTGTCATCGTACAAAAGTTGTTCTTACATTTTGTTTATGAATTTTTCGTTCACATACATTTCGGTGTCCGTTTGTATGTATATTTGAAATTTTTGCATGTAAACTTTTCATTGTCATTTCGTTGGTGTGTAGTAGTATGGCCTACAAGGTTAATACGTCAACAGAAACAATTTAAACTGCCAAACCAAACATTCAATCGTGTATAATGTATCGGTCATCCATTATGCGTTGAAGTTAAATATTTATTGATTATTTCATGTTGTTCATTACTAAAAACCTCTTTGTTGATCTCGGATTATTTTTTTTTACAATTTCATAAGAGCTGCTGATTGGAATTTAGGTGAACCCACTTGGACAGGTCGTATGCGTTTGGTCGCCAAAGGTATTGTTTGTCATTTGAAATTGGAAGATAAAACAAGTGGAGCTTTATTTGCTAATTGTCCCATCGACACCTATCCAGGTGTGGCCATCGAAGCCGTTTCGGATAGCTCGCGTTATTTTGTTATACGAGTACAAGATGATAATGGTACGTGTTTTCAAAAGAATTTGAATGCACTTTCATTCCCTCTCCTTTAAAAAACTGTTTCCTTTCATTGAAACGACCACCAGGACGATCTGCTTTTTTGGGTTTAGGTTTCGGTGATCGTTCCGATTCGTTCGATTTGAATGTAGCTTTACAGGATCATTTTAAATGGGTTAAAAATCAAGAACAAATCGAAAAAGAGAAAACTCAGCCCAAGCAAGAATTAGATTTGGGTTTCAAAGAGGGTGAAACTATCAAAATCAATATGCGAATTACGGTAAATCTTCGTATAATTAATAAAATCGTGTAATAAATATTTTAAAAAAATCAACAGAAAAAAGATGGTTCGGAAGGTGTTAGTCGTACGGCCAAAGCAAAAACTAGTGGCGGAATATTACCACCACCACCTGGCAATTTGGGTAAAATCGCACCGCCGCCAGCGAATGCTGCCAGTTCAACACGTCAAAGTCCGGGCACTTCGCCAGCTCATAAGCCTACTGGTAATAGCACTGGTACAGAATGGACAGACTATGCCTCAGCCGGGTAAATTTTATTTAATAAATTATGTAAAGAAAATTTATTTTTGAAAAATTCTTTAATAATTTAGTAATAACTCCGGACAAAATCCAACGCCACCTCAACAAAATACTAATGCAACAGCAAATGCAAATTGGGTGCAATTTTAATTCTAAGCAGTAAAGCTATACATTAGAAATTTAAATATAGATAAAACAACAACAACCAACAAACAGAGGATATATTATGCGAAAGAAAAAAATCAATAAACAAACCATTTACCCTAAATGATACAATTAACGTATAAAAACGAAAAAAATTAAATAGTTTACATGAAATTGCAATTAAAATATAAAAACAAAATAAAAGCAGTAAAAGAATACACATTAATTGAACACAAAAATATTAAGAATGATTTGAGTTCGCTGTCAACTAAATGCAATTCTGACCCAGCGGTGTTACATTATCTTTCTCCGTAAATCTAGTTGTGAAAACAAATTGGAATCTCGCAAACCTCCCTTGGTTCCCTTGGTCCATTTTTTCTCATGTAAAAACTTTTTTTCCTGAAAAGAACATAATTTTATTAAAGTTTTATGATTTTTAATATCTTTTATTTCTGTTTGTACTTACGCTTGCGTGAAATGTGTTGTTCATTGATTAAATAAAAGCAAATTAATTATTGTAACGCCGAATGTGAAGAAAGATAAACGTGTACCCATTAGCTTAAATTTCTAGTTTAAAAAATATATAAACCAATATTTTGCACATTTAAAACATTCCTAATTTTGTGTTTTTTCTTTTTTGTAATTAAATATATAATAATTATTATGAGAATTTAAAAGCAAATATATAAAAATAAAAAAATACAATTTAATAAGAAATTTATAAAATTTATTTTTTCAACAAATACAATAATAATTATATTTTCTAAATATGAATTAATGTAAAATATTGGAGATTATTTAGAAGAAAACATATATACATACATACATATGTATGTGTAAATATATATATATATACATATATATGGATATGTAAACGCATATAATAAATTGTAACTTTATGAAATGTATATCAATTATACTCTTGTTTAATCTTCTTTCAGCAATGCTTATCGGTTCGAATTGGGCTATAAGGGGAAAAAGAGTTTTTCAAGCAACTTGGTTCCAATCTTATCAATTTTTTAATGTAATTCTTATAGATTTGAGGTTATGATTAAGTTCCCTACAATCAAAATTTACCGTCTTTTTCTTTTAGTGTTCCGCCCGCGAATCAACAATGATATTGAAATTCCAATTAATTTCCAATTGATTCTAGCTCTAGTGTTAATGAAATCAAGTAACGAGTTCGGCCAGGGTCGAATCTCGCATATCCACTAATATTAAAATTTTAAGCTTTGGTGAATCAGATAAAATGTATCTCTCACCTTTTACTTCCCTAAAAGGTATGACGTTCACCGCTATTAATTTAGAGTTAACATACTCAGCTGTTCCCATTCTATTCTCTCCACGAGTCCTTTTATTTGATACCCATATCGATATCGTTTAATATATAAAAAACTTGTGATCTACTTTTCATAGTCCGTTATCAATCTCTTTTCAAAAATGACTCGATTTCAGGTCTTTATTTACCTTACGTTACATAAATGTAACCAGAAGTTAACAGCAATTCAAAGTATAATCACTGATATCCGACAAATACTGAATTTCAAGATGTGTAAGAATTAGAAAGCAAAATTCGTTCAATTCACCCCTACGGCTTGAAAAGTAGTACCAGATGTGGTTGTAACAAAATATATAATGGATGTTTGTAATAATTGAACACGTACAAAACTGGAACCCGCACTGTTTTGACGCATTATATGCAAAAAGTATGATAACATATTTTTCTCTAGGGAAAAGCTGGAAAAAGGAAAATAATTAATAAATAATTATAAAGAGCGAGTTATTAAGTGCTGCTTACTGATCATATTTAAATTTCCGCTATATTTCTTAACGATTCTACAAGCAAACACCGAACGCGGAAAATACGCGAACTAAACTTATTTAATTTTACAAGTTAACCTAAAATTAGATCGCCATAATTTTTATTATCAAATTAAATAAAGCCCTCGCTAAATTCCCTATTGAAAGGCAAAGCACAGAGTCGCTTATAATAAATAAATGGTTAAATGCCCAACTTTACAACTTAAATGGTAACGCCATTCAGCTATGTTAAATGTCCAACTTAACAGAAAACAATCATTTAACTCTGTTAAAATGCACATCGAATAATAATAATAATATGCTTTTCAACATTCGGTTTTTATGCTTCAATCAAAAATAACGTTGGTAATTAATAGCCGATTTATGGTTTCCACATAAATCGGCCCTAGATTCTTTCCTTTTTTTTGTACATTTATATAAAAAGTTCAGTCTTACTTCTGTAATTCGAATTTCAATAGAATACATATGTAACAGTATTTTTTACTTTGATACTTCTCCAACTTCTCTTCTTTGCAACTCTTTCAAATTAAAATAATAAACAACTGTTTAAACAGCTGGTTTTGTTGACGAGACAATTATTAGCGTAGAGCAAAAATTTTAATTTTTATTAAATACTTTAGCAAACTTATGTATTAAACGTGAAATTATAAAAGAACAAAAGACAAATAAATAATGTATACACTATTAAATGGTTTCTATAAATATTTGACACAAAAAGATGAATATTGCGTTGTAATACTAGGTCTGGATAATGCTGGCAAAACGGTAAACACAAATGAATTGAAAAAATAAAGGTCAATTATAGTAAATAAATCGAAAAATAATGCTTAAAAAAATTTGTTTAGACCTATTTAGAGGCAGCTAAAACAAAGTTTACCAAAAATTATAAAGGTATGAATCCGGCAAAAATTACCACAACAGTGGGCTTAAATATTGGTACCATTGACGTGCAAGGTGTTAAATTGAATTTTTGGGATTTAGGCGGACAACAAGAATTACAGTCGTTATGGGATAAATATTATCAAGAAAGTCATGCAGTTATCTACGTTATAGATTCCAATGATAGAGAGCGTATGGAAGAGTCAAAGGTTATTTTTGGTAAGAGGAAAGAGTGATGGAGAGAAAATGTAAATTATTTTTTCCATAAATGTTTCTTTTTCCACGCTACAGATAAAATGATAAAAAATGATTTATTGTCGGGAGTTCCTTTGTTGATTTTAGCTAACAAACAAGACTTACCCGATGTTATGGGCGTAAGAGAAATTAAACCGGTATTTCAACAATCCGGAACACTAATAGGCCGTCGGGATTGTTTGACAATACCAGTGTCGGCTTTAACGGGGTAAGTATTCATACCTACATTTATTTTTATCATGAAATAATAAGAACTCTTTCCTACTACACGAACAGTGAAGGTATTGACGAAGGTATTAAATGGCTCGTAGAAGCCATAAAACGCCATTCAATTGTAAGACCACCTCGTGTAAATGACTGATAGTTTCTTTCAATCTCTTGATAAACTCAACTCAGATGTTATATTCTATTTGTTTTTTTATGTTCATTGCGTAAGGGTACAAAATGTTTTTTATTGAGTTCAGTTCAATGTTAAAGACTTTTATTTCTTAACTGCTTTTTCTTTTTTCTTTTTAGTAATATTAAGTATTACGAATTTTATAATTTTCTAAAAAAATAAAAAAAATAAAAAATTTAAGATGTGTAAAACATAAAGGGAAAGCCATAGTCAGCGACATACAAGTAATGTTAAGATGTAAGTATAAGCAAACTCCCTTTTTCAACGTTTAAGTAAATTTCCTTTTCGTCTCTAACTTTTTATATAAACATTTTGTATCTTTCTTATCATTTTTTGTAAATTCTATACAAACATAACAATCGTTAGTTGGTTGATAAGACTGCTTTTTACCTTCCATTAATTGTGACTGCAAACCTGCATGTGTTGTTAGTTCTCATTATTCTGTGAACCTTTCAAAGATAAGCTAAAGGCGCCAGAAAAGAAGTGAATAGTCATTGGCAGCGAAAGTGTAAGAAATAGTCTAATATTTTGTCATTTCGAATGAAAGAAAATTGAATCATTTTATTATTTGACCTAAAAACGATTTGATATAAAAATTATTTTCGACAACTTTATTAAAGTTATTATGATTACGTATGAATGTATAAAGGCATGTGTTTTACAAAGTTTTATTGCTATGGAATAAATTCAAAACAGAGAAATAAAATATTTAAAAAATATATATGTATATTGTTTTACAGTTTTATTCGCCAAGTGGATTTGATATCGCGAATGTTCGTTATAGTGTGTATATTGTGTACAGCGTTTACAAGTGCTTAAGAATTAAAAGAAAAAATATTTTAATACAAAAGTAAAAACTTTAATTTGTATGCAGAAATTAGAAATATAATTATTATGTTTCCTTACTACGAACAAGACTGGAGCGTTTTGCCAACAGAAAATAACCGTCGGTAAGTTACATGTTAATTTTAAAAGATGTTATGGAAACTGCTCGAATTTATAGAAGTTTTTGAGTTCAATTTTGATAATTCGAAAACAGCTTATTTATCATTCAGTTTTTAATGTTTTTTAAACTATCGAAATAAGCGGAGGATATGGAAGGAATGTACGCTTTAAGGACACGTATAGAAATCAAAAGCTAAATAACACAACGAATTTATCAATATAGTAACTATATTACCAAAATCTAGCCGCCAAACATATACATATGTAATGTATGGTAAATGTCTCGCCTTCTTCATTAAATGAAACGGAATTGAGAAATGATCGAAAAAACGTTCCTATGCGAATAATTTTCAATAGCGTTCGTCCTTGAGCCAAGACACATCAGCCTACCAATTTCTACTAAAAAATCTCAAAACTTGCCATCTGTAGGGTAAATTAAAGGAATAGAAGATGAACAGATAAGCTTAGATCGAATCGGAAATTGGTTTATACCGAGTGAGTCTACTTGAGGTCTTTCTCGACATTACATACAATCGCACAAACTGACTATGACTCTCGTTCATAAACAACTTATATTGAAACTTTATAAACATGCTTTTTATTTGAAATTTAATACTAATCACGATTTTACTATAACTTATTGTTAACCGTAAGAGTACTAATTAGTATGTTGTATTCCCATTTTAATTGTACAATACCATGACCCTTTGAAGGCAATCATTTCCCGTTTTTTGGAAAACACTTTGCAACCATTAGTAACACTTATATCGGTGTTTTTTTTCTCTTCTTGTCCGTGCAAAGCTGCTGAAGTTTTCGGAATTTTTTAGCACTTGGAAAAAATATAATTTTTTTGCTTATATTTTTATTTTTCAAATACATAAAATAAATGTGGGAAAAGCAGCACGTAAACTATAATAAATAAAGTGTAATAAATAAATAAACAGCTGACACATCAGTTAACAAAAACATTCCATTTAAAAATTAAGTGAGAAAAGAAAAAAATCTTGGCCAACGAAAACGAAAATTTTTTTTGTCGCGTTGTAAAACGTTAAACTTACTTGGAAACAAAGCAAAAAAAAAAAAACGGATAAAAGTGCTTTATCACAGGTGAAAAAACAAATAGAAACATTTTTAAGCATAAGCTTTATTTTAGTGGATTAATGTGGTCGTAATAAAAATTAAATAGCCGCTAAATTATGGTCCCTATTGCAGTTGCTTCTCAGTTGAGTCTTTAAACCTCCCTTAAAGTGTTTTTATTGATACGAGCACCTGTCATTGCAAAGGCAAATAACTCATTGCGTTTTTATTCCTATTAAGCAGCGCGTTGCGATAATGCTTTTCGTATTGTGTAACATTTTATTTGTCTTCAAACTTTTAAAATTCATTTGCAAGGTTTTGCTGGTTTGTTCTATTATCACTTTTTATAATTGATCAATTTTTCTTATTTTACCTAGTTGTTGGATGTTCTTCTGTGTTTTTTGTCATGTTAACAAGCTACTTTTTCGCTCTTATAATCTAAAGACAACTTTTCTCTCTCTCCGTCTATGACTCTCTTTTAAACAATGTCACTTTAATTATAAGAGAACTCTAAACTCGTCATTAATTTAGGGGGCGAGCATTTTGTGAAAACAATACCAGGTAATATATGAACATTTTGGATTGTGTTAAAGATTCCCAATGTAAAAGTGTTGGTCCCTCGTAAAAGCATTTGACTATATGGTGATGGTACTGTTCGATTTATTTTTTATGCAATACGCAATTAAACACAGGTACCTATTGTAAATTAAGCTGTTTGCATTATTAAAATGAAAAACGGCAACCCTGCCTTTTGCATTAACTCTCCACTAAAATTTATGAATTGTCAAATATATGTTCATATACGTATGTTCTAACCTTTAGGCCATAATGGACGAGAAGTCGTTGATTTTTCCTCCAGTAGTATGTGTAATTGTAACATCACGGTAACAAATGTCGTCAGCGTGATTTAATATTAATATTAATCATTTAAGAAATTAAGAAAATACATTCTCAGAAGTTAAACAAAGAATTAATAAAATGAAAATATTTGCCACATATAACATATCGAGTACTATTATATTGCGAAAAGTGTACGTGGTTTTCATTAAAGCCGGAGGCAGCTCCCTGTGCTTATTCGTCTGCCTATACAACTAATAAACCTTAGAAATGATTTGATTTGTGACCCTTTTCTTTTAGAAATTTTATATTGTAGGAGTGTGCTAACACCCCAGCATTACCATACGCAAGACTAGTAGCGTATTTTACATACATTTTTATTATGGGCTATTAAGTGGCTAATAAGAATAATTGTGCCCATTGTTGAGACTGTTATATTGATGTGTGTTAAGTGTATATGACAAATATATGTATATTGAAACAAAAAGAAAAAGTGAAAAAGGCCTACAAGTGCATACTCTTTTTTTCTTTTTTTTTTTTTTGTCTCGGTTTCGTCTTTAGAATTGGGAGGGAAGGACATTTGATGTTTTATGCTCACATATGCATCATATTATGTTGATATAGGGGTCTGCTGTATTTTAAAAGCTCAGGTATTTTCGTGTTTAGATAAGATACAATTTTGTTTCATCTTTCCATTAGCGAACGTTAGGAATCTTAATAACTTTTTGTTAATTAAAAACCTATACCGCACTTATCTATTTCAATTAGATATTCTCGTCCCCTCTTCCTCTCTGGCGCTTGCAATTACTGCTCTGTTATTGGTGTATATATATATATATCAATTGTATATAAATATGGACTCATTTGTGTATTTTGGCTTTGTCCTATGACTTACTATTAGCTTACTGTTTGGACTTTGCCTTATGGCTTACTATTAATTTACTGTTTATGCACTCAAAGAGATCCTCTAACCCATTCGCCAAATGATTGTATTTACAATCAGGAAAAAAAAAAGAAAAGTTAATAAATATATTAAAATTTCGTTTTGACCCTACACTTCGATGTTTTAATATCTCATTTTTTTTGTATTCAAACGCTAAACCTCATATGTCTCATATGTATTTCTGCTGTATCAATACGTGCACGCATTCGTTGTGTGTTGAATTATTGTCTAATTTGCTAAATAAAGAAAGGAAAGTGAGAATAATAATTAAACTAATACATGTAAAAAAAAAAAAGATAAAAGCACGTAACCTTATTTCTCTCGAAGGAGGTATGCTAAGTTTGTCAGATGTTTGTAACGCATAAAAGTATGAAACGAAGAATTGAAATTGCTGACATGTTTCTTAATCAGCATGACATGCGTAACGAGCAGAAAGAATTGATCACATTCATCTGTCTGTCGGCTAGGTAAAATCATCAATGCAAGTAGAAATGTGTATTTGTTGGGTAAATATTGAATTTGTCTTAAATGCGTCTGACTTCTTATGACAGTCACTTTATCCCAGCAAGAGGCAATAGGCAGATAATTGAAAGCTAAAAGTTTCCACATTTGTGTCATTCATATCAGCAGCTTTTCATTATGTCAGTACGTGTGCTCGCCATGCATTTCATGTCAGTCATGTTACCTTGCGGCTGTATACATATGTTAAGTGGACGTACGTACTTTTATGTTCTGCACTTGTTACGATGTCAGCTTACACGTGGCGGCCTATTTGCGGATACTTGCATCTAAGCAGTGCCGTCATATATATTACAATTACCGAATGCGATGCTTACTCTTACATAGTATGCTATGCTTAAAGTGATTTCATATGTATTTGACCATTAATTGCAAAAAATATATACTTAAAAAAAAAAAAAAACAAAAAGTACAAAAAATAAATATAAAATCCGCTCTGAATCGAATGTAATCTCTTTTTGTTTTGATTTATAGTGAAGTAAATCAACCGACCGCAATAACAAATCGTGTCCAATAAACGTGCTTTGTGCGCTGTATATCGTGTAAAATAGGATAGAACATAAAAAAAAGAGAAGAAATTTTAGACGGTTTTGAAATTCTATTAAATTAATAATAAATTAAAACTGTGATTCACTCATCACCGTCACCACTACCACAAGCACCACCACCACCACCACCACCACCACTACCACCACCACCACCTCCACCATCATCAGCATCAACATCAGCATCAACATCGATATCGACAAATAGCAACAGCTCAATATGAATTCCGAGCATGGGTATGGGTAAACTTTGTGATTTTCTTTATTTATTTATTATATATATTTCTATAAATCAGTTATATCGTATAGGCTTTGTTTATATGAAGGAGATATATTTATATTACATTAAAAATAATGATGATAGCAATAGCAAAATTAACAAACAAAATTGTTCCTGTAATAATAATAAGAGTAATAATAATAAAGAATATGTTTGATTGAGTGTAAGGTTAAGTTTCGTTTATTTAAATTGTTAATATCTATAATATTGTTTTTCATTAGTATATTTTTTTTCCTTTTTGCAAATCTCACAATTTTTTTTACAAGTTTTTGCTAATTATTTTATATACACTGTATATATATTTTTTTATATATTATATATAAATTATGCACTCTTTTTCCCGCACATTCATAAATTTTGCCAATACAAATATAACCAAACATAAGTAAATGGCCAACTTAAGCAGTCGTTAAGATCTTTTATTTATTATATTTATTATATTTTTAAACGGTTAACTTTGCTTGAGTAATGCGTACTGGAGTAATGGAGAAATGTAGAAGTGAAAATTTAAGTACGAATATCTACTCTCATGTAACCTGAGCTAATTAAAAAATAAAAACAGCAAATGATAAATACTGATGGTAACTAGATTTTAAATTCGTGGCGTCCAAGGCCAGGGGTTGCTTCTTCATAGATGTGACGGAAAATATTAATTGTATAATTTACAGTAGCTTTATACCCTTAAGAGTTCTTGCAATGCCGCGCTCGGAAAACAATAAACCAAGCGAGAACACTCTATTCATCTTTTTTCCTCTTTTCTTTTTTTTTTTTTTTGCATTTAATTGTTAACGTGTGTTTGCTTGC